CCCACCCAATAACCCACTGAATTAGCAACCAGACAGGAGATTAGAGTAGGACACATTTTCATGTGTGTATTCTTGAAGGTCTAAGAAGGACAAAAGCTAAGCCCTCTAGTTATTATAGATTCTAGCTATTTTTCAAGAGTATGATGAAAATCCTTCTGCTTTCTTAGATCATTTCAGGCACTGGTAAAACACACGACCAGAGCTCCTGATTTGATAGGACAGATTTTGCTTAAAGACAGGTCTATTACCCAGTCAGCCTCACATATTAGAAAAAAGTTACAAAAGACAGCTTTTGCTCTGGATAGTTCACTTGATACTTTAGTAAATCTGCCTCCTTAGAACTCTATAATCAAGACTAGGAGAAAGCCAAGGAGAGAAAACTGAGACCAGAAAGTGGCTACCTTTGTTATGGCCTTAAAAGAAGTAGACCTTAAGTCTGATTCTCAAGGTTCCAAAAAGAGCTTAGCGACCACTCGCCCACTACCACTGCCAAAAGCAAGATGTCTTAGTTACTTTATGCTCGTTGCTGAGACCAAATACCTGAAATGAACAATGCAAACTCATGAGGCCTGAGGGACACACACATAAACCATGACACAAGGTTACCTTAAGAAGGGCTGCCTTAAGAGGCCTCCCAAGCCTTGCCCTGACTGCAAAGGCTGCACTGGAAGCCAGAGGTGGAGGCCCCAGAGCTCAGATTCGCCCTTCCCAGTCTAGCAAGACCAAAGGGCTTTAGTGCTCTCTACCCTCTTCTGGCCAGACTGTCATCTCTACCTGTCATCTCCATGGGGAGCCCTGAGTAATTATGACTACAGGGATAAAACAGCCTAGTGCTGGACAGTGGCACATGTCTCTTTGTCCCTCCCCAAAGCTGGCCTTCCTTCCAGACAGCATACCTCAATAAAATAGTCACCAAAAGTATCTTGGTTGAGCTGTAACTGGGACAACTTTCTCTTCACTCATTCCCTTTTTATGCCCAGAAGTCCAGCTCCATCCTGAAGAGATTTTATGCTGTCTAAATATTTTCATATATATATATATATATCCAGGTTGCAAACTAATCAAAATGATATTGAGACCAATTTTTACAAACATAGTACATATTGTTGTTCATGTATAAAAGCTTAAAGAGTTTTTCATTTGTCAAGATAATGTATTAATCTAGTTCTCATATATCATCAAAAATTTAGAGATAATTATAACTAAAGCTACTGGGACTTATGACAAAAAGACAAAATGTCACCCTCGATCAATAAAGGGACCTAAGAACCAGTGAGTTACAATTGCTATCCCTGAAAAAGTTTCTAAACTTACCCACAGCTCTAATGCTCAGGCTTTGATTATACGTGCTCTAATTTCTCAGAAAATTTATTCTTGCCTCAAGGATGCCAAACCCCAAGGCATCATACAGATAAAACCAATAATAAATGTGCTAGATTCTTTTTATATTTCTTTTACTGGGATCTGCTAGATGTTATCCAGAGAGAAGGCATTGACATATATCAAGGCCTTAACTATCCTCAACAGGTCTTACCACCACCGCTGGTCTCTCTCCTAAATCAAAAGTAATTAATAGGGGCTGGGGATTTAGCTCAGCGGCATAAGCACCTGCCTTGCAAGCAAGCGGTCATGAGTTCAATCCCCAGTACCAATAAAAAAAAAAGTAATTAATAAGACAAGTCATCCCCCAAAATGAGATGACATTAGACATTCTAACAGCAGCACAGGGGTTAGGAGGTACTTATGCAATTGTGAAAACTGAATGTTGTGTGTACATTCTAAGGAGAAATGACAAAAAGTTAATTTCTTGAGGATTAGGTTGGGAGAACTCAGTGGTTAGCAGTTGAGCAGAGAATGGCCTGGGCAAAGACAGGGAGGAGTAAGCAGTGTGGAGGTGAATGTAGTGCTGAGGACATGAGGGGGACACCTGCAAAGGCCGGAGAGTAGCCAGGTACTCAAACTGCAGTCGGTTCCTTAATGAAAACAGGGACACGGTCTAACGGATTTGGCACTGTGAAGGTCACTGGTGACCTTGAGCTCCTATGTTTCCAGGGACAGAAACAGGTGGAAGCCCTTGTCCTTCTGACCAGTGACCATTCCTGCTGCCTGACTCACTGTCTTTGATACTCCAGAAAGACTATTCCTTATTATTGACAACAGTTATCCAAGTACTGTAATCCTTTTTCCAGTTTTCCTCACAATCCAAAAAGTTATATTTGTAATCAATCTACCACCTCAATGCAACCCATGGCGAGAGTAAAGACACCAAGACATTCTCCAAGTTAAGGGCAGCCAAGGGGTCCCAAATCAAATCCTTGTGGGGATGCACGAACAAAGGCCCTGATCCTAGGCCTCTCCCAGAATTTATTATCTTGTGAATAAGGGGGGTGGCTCAAGGCTGAGTGACAGTGAGGATGGCAGGAATTATGTAACTTGAACTGGCTAGCCAGGTGAGGAGAAAAGCATCTCTGCAAATTGCAGAGATAAAGATATGCAGAAGGATCAATTCACATAGTCCAATTACGGTAGCAACTGAATTGTTTTAGGAGGCTGCTGCTTCAGTTTCTGATATATAAACTTTCATGCCCTGAGGAGTCATAGCCTCTACCTTGAGGCTCATACCCAGTTGACATTCCCGAAGCTATTAGCTCTAACATCCCACGGTGTTCATATCCTTTTCGGAGAACACCATTCGAGGAAACAGGACTGTCTGTGGGCTTTAGAGATTACATACCAGCACCTCAGCTAGCCTTATTTGCAATGCTTAGAGCCAATTGAAGAGAGAAGGAAATACCATAGCCAGCTCTCTACATAGCAGTATAAGGAAATAAATCTCCAAATAATTAAAGTTGCAGCAATTGTTTTCCATTCAAGGGGAGTCACTAGAGTTGTCTTACGGACACTTACGGACTCACAGACCTGTGTTGCAACTAGGCTCTTCTGTTTACCATTAGTGTGAACTTTAACACCCTGATGATTCTTTCTAAGCAGTTGCTGTTTCTTCTACAAAATATGAGAAACCACATCTTACAGTGAAGTCATGGACATAGATACTATATGGAAAAGCATTAGGCAGGAGCAAATAGTAAGTGCTCAGTAAATAGTAGCTCTGTTACTTTTATCAGTATCATCTGACTTGTGTTGCTTGTCTAATATATCTCAGTGTGCAGTTCTTTCTTTGAATAACTGATCTTCCTGCTTGGTAAGCCCAGGCACAGAATCTAATCTAGCCTCACACAGTGCCTAATATGAACAAGGTAAAATGATGGATTCCTTCCCTGGGCCCAAGCAGACACCCAGGGCCCATGTTGTTCTAGAATTCCTGAAGGGCAGAAAATAGAACCCTTTTTACAGTTTTAAAGACTAGGCTTTCCTTTCTTAGAACTCACTCTTGAATTTCTCATTTAGTTTTTTCCATTGTAGATATCACTGATCTTCAAAGTGGAACTGTCATTCGAAGAAAATCAGATTTAATAAGATGATTCAAAATTTTATTGAATACGTTTTCCCAGTGGGCATTTGATTGACATATCCAGATATTCACTACAAATTTGGCAACCAAAGCTTAACTTTAAAGCATAAAGCAATCTTCATAAAACCTTATTTTAAAGCCTTTGGTTCATATCTTTTAGTACATCTTAATTTCACCCAGTGATATTGTATCCATCATTAAACATTTCATTTTCAAAAAAGAACTGTAGATACTATCTGGTTCCTGTTCCAAAACTGGGTTAACCACCATGAGATGGAAACAACATCAGACTGAGCACCAGAAAAATCTGTTCAAACCAAGACAGTGACACTTCCTAGCTCTATGTCCTAAAGTAAATAAAAATATTCCTAACCTTATTTTCTTCATCACCAAAATGAAGACCAGCATGCACACTTTACAGGATTGTTGCAATGTGTAACTCATAAAGCACCATAAAAATCTAGGATAGTATTATTCTCAAATGATTAATGATTCACACTCATTCATTAATCAGTGGATACTTATGAAACATGATCATGAGGCAGACACTTTGTAAGCAATAAAAATATAAATTCAAAGTAAGTCAATGGCTCTAAGAAGCTTCAATACCAACGGGGAAACCAAATTTACAAGGTGGAAAGAAGCACGTGCTAATGTGGCTCTTGGAGTCAGAATGGAGTATGGAAGTGAGATTGAAGGAGGACTTCCTGAGTTGCTAACACTAGAAGGAGCTACCAAATTACAGACTCAGCAGCGACAAAATAAATCAGAATCACTGCTCTGTGAAGTGGCCCACATGCTCCACTGTCCTGGGCCCAAGCAGTTCCAGTGTCCCAGCCCCTCAAGACAGGCTTTGCCAACTCAGCCCCACTGGATAAATTTGTGCTGTGGGCCTGTCTAGTGCATTGCAGAATACCTCTACCTACTAAACGGCACAGTGTCTGCCGTTATCCAAACTGTGGCAGAAACTTCTGCAGACACTGCCACAAACCCTCTGGGGAGTTAAATTGCCCCCAGTTCAGAACTTCTGCTTTAAGGTTATGGAAAACCAGTGTAAGTGCTTCTAAGAGGAATAGAATTCATGCAACTAGTACCTAGACTAACACTGGTGTTCAACAAAAATGAATGAATGAATGAATGAATGAGCCTCTTGGAATCCCTTTGGCTATTTCTCTCAGGTCTTATTCAGAAGAGCCTGGGCTGCTAATTAAGTTTTAAAAGTATGCAAGTGAGGGCCAGGGATTTAGCTCAGCAGGCATAAGTGCCTGCCTGACAAGTGCAAGGTCATGAGTTCAATCCCCGGTACCGCAAAAAAAAAAAAAAAAAGTAGGCAAGTGAGAGGTAATAATAACACCAACATCCATTTAAACAGTGCTTGGTGTAAGCCGTACCATCCTGCACAAGGAGCTCAAACTCTCTGAGTCTCAAATTCTTAAGTGGGGATAATAATCTGTATTTTACAAGGACATTGGGAAAATTAAATGAGATAATTGCCAGTAAATTATACTGGCTTAGAAGGCTTAGCACTCTCTTTTGATGTAATTGAGAGGAAGAATTTTAACAGGTTGTTTCCCACTTCTTTCCAATAAGTTTTACCCACTAAAATGAACCAGAGAAGTTTGAAGAAATAGTGCTTTTGTTTCAAATGAGTGGATGGAGCGCACCGTGATAGAAACTGACAATCAGGCATCCAGCTCATCCCTCATGAGCAATGGGTCAGTTAAGTGGCCCCAAGCATTGTGACTTCCAAGAACCACTCATCTAGTAAAGTAGCAATGTGACCATGAAAAGCTCAGTCAGCACTCAGATCTGGCCAACGCACTGGCCTGGATGCCTTGGTCACACTGAGGCTTGGTTGGGTTGTAGGTTTGAGGAAAGTGCCTTGCGTATGCTGTGTCCCGCAGTTTTGTATAGACATAGATCACCAAATCTGGAAATGTCTTCTGAAAATAATGGGAAGGTTCTCCAATGATTTCCTTCATCCTGAAATGAAAGAACAAATGATTTAGCATACTTGCTTCACGCACCTCCTCTCTTCACAGAATACAAGAGTTCGCACTGCTCTCTTGATTTCAAGTGCAAAATGAATAAAGGGTTTGGAATCTGATTGAGCAATTCTTCTAATTTCTTAGTAACTCTGTAAATGTTGGCTATTTAATTTTCCTGAACTCCAGTTTTTCACTAATAAAACAGAAGTAATACAATTCTATAATCTTTTATGTACAAATCTCAAATTCAAAAAAGCCCCAAACCAAGAGGTTTTTGTATGTATGTGTTTATGGCAATCATTTGAGGCAGGAAAATCTGATTTTACCAAATAGGGCTGTTGAACTTTCGTTAACATAGATTTATTTTACCCCGCTGGCCAATCTCCTGGTTACTCATGTAAGAAATTGCTAGCGTCTGTTGCAGTGGTCCTTGCAAAAGTCAAAAGGGAGACGACAGTCTGCCGGACCCGTCCATCATTAATGTAAAGCCAAGTGACACCCTTTTTTCAACACAGAAGGGACTGCTCTTCTTCTATGAAAATAAATTTTCTTGTTTTTATGTAGACAGGTACTTGGAAATGGATTTTTAAATTATTCACATTGCATATATGATTTATAAAAGCGGAAACAGTATTTACCATTTATTTTTCTCCTCATCAATGTGTTCTCCTATATTCCGGATGAACTTCAGCAGGTCACCCACACTGTCCTGGTAAAATGTTTTCTTTTTTTTATAGAATTTATTCATGCTCTTCATAACAGATTTATCAATCTGGAAACAAAACACTGCACATAAATGTGGTGGGAACAAAATAAATCTGATGGCATGCAAAAGGCAAAGTACAAATTTGAATACACGTTCTCTACTAATAACTAAAACAGATTAATCAAAAGAATGAGAGTAAATGCAACCCGAAGCAGTGGTGGCCACATTAATGTACCCTGAAAAACTTGGATCATGCACCTATGATGGCAAAACAAAACCATGCAAGCCAAAAATGGGCAAGTCACTAAAATCAATAGAAAAACACAGTCTAAAATGGATATTAAAAGGCAAGGCTTGAAGTCAATCAAAACTCAGTATAAGCAAAAACCTAAAAAAAAAAAAAAAAAAAAAAAAAAAAAAAAAACGCAGTATAAGTCTATGAAACTTAGAGGGAGAAATGCAGTGAATTGGGAAACAAAAAAACAGGTCTTGCTTTCCAGCACTGCTAATCCCTGACTGCCCTGTCCTGGGTACTTCAGGTGTACTTCATTTCTGAGCCTCAGTTTCCTCAGGGATTAAATAAATTGGAGCTGTTGATAGTATTGTAGCTTTTGTGGTGACAGCAGCCTAAGCACATGGCTCTGCAGCTATTCCAGCTTCAAATCTTTCCACACCACTCCCTGGCTCTCTGCCTTTGGAAAGTTGGTCTGTGCCTCAGTTTAGAGGCTGTTTGAGGACTGAATGTGACAACATTATGAAGTCCTGAGAACCACGACTGTCAGTTAGCACTACAGAATCGCTGGCACCATCTACTCTAGTTTCAAGTTGCTCTTTCAAAGGTTAAGTGTGAGCTGAAATTTTATAGACACTGATGGAACTTGCAGGCCAGCAAAGAAAACAGACATTAAACCAACATTACGAGGTGTAATCTAGAGATCAGCTAAGGAAGGAAATAATCCAAGAGCCAGAAACCAAGAAGTTTTGGAGAAGAAGCCTACGATAGGGAGGCTGCTGGTTGCAAAGACCTAAAGATAAGGACCCTTCCTTAGTGCTTTGTACGTGTCCTCAGGGTGCCCCGCACCCATCATTTTGGGGGTCTCTCAGTTGCATACACACTAGGCATTTTCTGCTTTATGCACCCAAATCCTCACATTGGCCAACCTCATAACTGACATTTGATAGATGTTTTTAAATTAATAACAATGAAAGTTCTGATACTAAAGTCTAGAGATACAGATTAATTTTTTTAAAGTTTCACTATACTTAGATCAAGTTAGGTGGAAATTTTCTTGAGAAAATTTTCCATGAAAGATCTTTTTTTCAAGGTGTTTTCTCAAGGCATGCTATCAGTAGGAGTGTGAGTCTTCAGAGCTGTGGATGCACACGTGGCAGAGGCAGCCTGACTCTCCCCTGGCTGAGATGTTGCATGCTAGAGCACCGCCCTTGGGCTGGGTCTATTTAGTCCAATATGCTGGTCACAATAGCTAGGCTTGAAGGAAATGCTCGTAGGTTGCGTTGAGACCTTTTTAAGCAGAAGCCTAAATATGAGTCCATCAGGAGCCTTGGGTCTGGGGTAAACATGAGGTCCTGAAAGGAAGCCCAGGGACCCGAAAGTGCTAAGAGGGTCTAGGATGGAGAGGAAGAGAAGGAAAATCATCTCTTTGCCTTCCTAGCTGGAACAGGTCGGTATAAAATAAGTTAGAAACATTAGCATAAAACATTACACAGACTGACTTCTGAAATAACTCCTAGGCCAGAGCAATTGTCCATACCTTATCTGTCCACTTAGCAAAACTTCTAGAGCATTCAGATGACTCAAGTTGTAGCAGATTGAGGATCTCACTATCAGATTTTCTCATTTTGATGTCAGATTCATTTCCTACATTTCGAAGTGTCCTATATCGGCTGAAGATGATAGAATTATCATGATTATTTTGTTCTTCCCACTCTTTTCAGAAACAGAAAATTGATTGATTTTATTTTCTGAGAAAAATACTAGCTCTTTAAAACTTCTGATTATAGAAAAGGCATCTGAAAGGTCATGTGTTCAACACCCGGTACCAAAAAAAAAAAAAAAAAAAAAGAAGAAAAGAAAGAAAGAAAGAAAAGAAAGGCATCTGATATTTTTTCCCTCTTATTCTGCAGCAGAGAAAGCCAGAACCAGAAAGTCACATCACCTCTCCAGGGAAACACAATCAAGAATATGCTGGATTGGAAGGAAATCCTAGATTGGCTGATTCCCAGCCCTATGCTCATCCTCACCGCCTCCCCGTCTCCTTCTGGAGCCCTGTGACATACATTTAGGTTTTACTTACTTTTCCCAAGACCAAAAGAAGGGGTGAGCCAGAAGACTGTTCAGAGAGTCCCTTACGTTTTCCGCAGGGCAGAACAAGTGATGGATGAGGTCCTTAGTTTCCTCATCTGGAGAAAGTTGGAGCACCTGTTCATTACTTTGAGCCTTCAGCTGCTCAAAAGGGATCTGTCCCTTCTTTACCACGTACAGGGCCAGCCGTCCGAGGGCCTGTGCAAGGGCCACAAAACAGCCAAAGGTAATTATAAGTCTCCTTTCTATTTTCTATTTAGAAAATGTGGACCAAGATGCACACACACAAAAGCAATCCGCAGGCTTGGTAGGAAGAGAAGGTGCAGCCCTGTGCATAGAGAGCTCTTCAGAGCAATATGTGGTTCACATGGTTCAAGTTTATGAAGAGTAAAAGATACCCTTGGGCCAGAGTTGTCAGGGCAGGGTACCTGGAGGAACAGGGATTTGAACTGGGCCTTGAGAACACCGATGGATTATAGGTGAATCGGGGAACGTGAGACTGTTTTGAACAAGATGTATCCTGAGAAACTGGCTGGGAAGGGGAAGTTCAGGTCCAGGGGCCTGGTAGGAAGCGGATATAACATAGTTGAGGTTGGGAGGGTCAGAGTGCCAGTCAGGGAGTCAGACCACAGCAGGGAGGAAAACAGAGAAGGAGGTCATCACCGAGCCTCTCCCCTGGACACCAGTCAGGGATGGAGCCGAAATCTAGAATCAAATCAATGGGCCAGGAGATAACAGTTTGGGGCCGTAATTAGCCCAGCAGCTTTGGGCTGCAGAGCCAGGCTCCATGTCCTCTCTGGAGCAACAGATGTTTCAGGATCCTAACTTTTTTGGGTCAGCTTCATGTCTTTTTGAGTTGAGGATGACCCCACCACTCCTAGAAGTTCTCTGAAGACCTCAGTATCTGGCCTTCTTCAGAGCTTAGCACAAGAGTTTGAACAGAATGGGGAAAGAAATCTCATCTACTTTATCTTTAGGCAGAAGAAGGTCTCCTGGAGGAATGTTGATGATACTTGGAAAAACCTCCCTAGAGTGTGTGGACAGAGGTACAGCATGCTCAATTCATTACTTATTTGCTAGTGGAGGAAGGAGGAGATCCTAAGAGACACAGGAAGGGGTTGCAATCATAGTGAGGCACACATCTACCCAGCACACCATCTTCTCCTCTGTATATTAAAAGCCAAGCAGACATTCTGTGTGTTGAAACTCCCATAGGGGAGTTTGTTGGCATGTGACTGAAGACAATGATTAGGCAGGGGCAAAGCTTGAAAGTTCTTTCCCTCCTGGTTAAGAGAGAAATATCCTATATTTGATCACAGTAACTAGGGTAACGAACCAATAATGGAGCAGAAAGAAGAAAAAGTAAACTGAACTGTAGACATTACCTCTAGATCATTCTTGATTTCCTGAGGATCTCCAGTCCACTTGATGCTCTGATCAAAATCACTCAGGCGAACAGTATTCTTGTAATCTAAGGGATAGTTTACAGAGGGGCGTGGGAAATACTCATTGTCTGTATTGTGATACTCAGTAGGTATGTACCATGATGTACAATCCATCATCACTGGAGGGTAAATAATAATGCTACTGACTCCCCAGAAACTGTCACACATATAGTTTCATTTGAGGTGTCTACCGAGATGCAGCAATTAGCTAATAAAGTTCTAAATCCAAGACTGTAATGGCACAGAATTCCACTAAATGGAGCAGATGAGCCACAGCCCAGCTGGATGGGCTGACATTCTGGATAGTAACCATGCATTAGTGATGTACTTGTAATGAGTCATTGCTTCCTTGTCCCCTTCAGATTCCTTTTCCCTTGAAACAAGCCACACAGCCCACAGAAAGAGGGATGAGTGGATGTGAGAAATCAGAACCTAGATGAATGGAAGGCAAATTGGCAGTTCATCCTTCAAGAGGTGGCCCCTGTTTTTGGCTCTAAGATTTCTGAGAAGAAGAAAGGCTGCATAACTCCAATAGGGTCAGGGTCAGTCGAGTTGAGTGCATCTGGATTCTAAACGTAAACATTAAAGTTGTATGAGAATCGAGTCTAACAAAAAATGAATCCATTAAATTATATGACAAGTGTCTACTGAAAGAACAATGGGTGAAGGAGAACCCAGCTCAAGAATAGTAAGTGAATAATTATACAAAGCAATGTGAAAATAATTGCAACTTTGGAATGCTAGCCAAAAGTGCAAAATGCTATGTAAGTATTTTATAGGAAAGCTTCATGATTAGCTGGGAAGGGGAAAGGTGTCCCTTAAGGATGAAATACTTAAAGGAAAAGCTGAATTGAATTCAGAAAGTAGAGAGGAGAAGAGAATTTCAGATAGGAATTCCTGAGGCCACAAGGAACAAAGAATTCCAACTTGGAGTGTCCAGAGAGCAAGGATGAAGTCACACAGTGGCCTGCAACAAGGGCTGGTCTCATTACTTGAACCAATAATTGTTTTTCCTAATTTAAGCCACTTTGGGTTAAATTTACTACCACTTAAATCTGAAAGTGCCTAAATGGACCATTTGACTACTCAAATGTGTGTAATTTACAAACTCCAAATCTTTCCTATTAGATTCAACAGATATTGTTAGTGGACTCTAAAATTTTTGAAACTCTTAGGTTTAGTTTCTGCACTGACAGTCAAAGAAGGTTACAAACAAATCTTTTTCCCCGCTGCTGCTCTGAGCCTCAGTCCTCTAATGTCTTTGGCCCATTTTAAAATCAGATTCTTCTATTTTCTTATCATTGAACTATAAAAGTTCTACGCATATGTGGGGCAACAACCCTTTATCTGATATATCTTTTGAAAATCTTCTCTCACACTATACCTTACCTGTTCACACTCTTCACCTTGTCTTTTGCAGAGCAGAAACTTTTTATTGTAATATAGTCAATTATTATTGCCTATCATTTTTTTCTTCACAGATTATACCTTTGGTATTGCATCTAAAGAGTCATCACCAAATCTAAGGTCCTCCACATTTTCTCCTATGTTATCTTCCAGGGAATTTTATACTTTATGGCTCCGGTAGAGAGCCAGGACCTTATATGGTAGGTTTGGTCTGGAGGAATCTGCCTTAATGAATGGGAAAATGCCACTGTCAGAGGAGTGGGATCATTATCCTGAGTGGGCTTGGTATAAAAACAAATTTGGCTGCCTTGTGCTCCTGTGTGCCCTCTTATCTTTCTGCTTCTGCCATGCACATCACAGCAAGAAGTCCTCATTAGAAGCCAGTACCTTGATCATGGACTTTCTAGCTTCCAGAACTGCAAGAAAGAAATCATTTTGTTTTTAACTAGATTGCCCAGTCTGTTACATTCTAGCATAGCAATACCAAAAAAGAAAAGAAAAAAAAAGACTAGGGAACTCACCTATTAAGATATTTTCTGGCTGCAAATCCTGATGAACATATTCATGCAAGTGTAATTCTTGAACAGCTTTAAATATAGATGCTAGGACATTTCGGCCATGTGCATCTTCCTCATCCTCCACAGCTTCCGCTCTGGGCTTATCCAAGTGCTCTTTCAGAGACTCTTCGCAGAGGGCTACACACACATACAAGCAGCCCCCCTCACTCTCACTCCCACAGAAGGTCAGAAAGTTACTGTGCCCCCGGAAGTGTCGTAGGCAGTCCATCTCCCTCTGGGCATGTTCACTGTCCTCACGGAATACCTTCACAGCCACCTCTCTCTCCTCGTGGAGCCCCAGGTAGACGCCCCCTTTAGAAGTGCTGGCAATCTTATAGTCATCATTTTTAAGAATCTTGAGTTTGCCAGTGTAACGGTGGCACATTTTATGGAGTTTTTCCAGCTTTTGCCCCCAGCGTGAACTCAAAGGCTTCCAGTCTTCAGCAGTGTCAGGGAAACAGTCTTGGGCGTTATAAGAGCGAAGCAAGTTTACAAGGGCATTGTCATAATGTTTACGCTTTGCTATCCTGACAAGATCTCCGCAATCTGTGCTGGCTCCCTTCTTGCACAGCAACTCAACAATCTCCTTCAGGTTGAGCTCAACAGCAGCCTTCAGTGCTGTTCGGCCTTCACTATCTTTTGCATCAATCTCTGTGTGCTCTTGTTCCAGAAGCATCTGCACCAAACCAACATGCTTCTTTTCCACTGCCAGGATCAGGGGCGTCTTCTGTTTTTCTCCTCTTACACAGACATCAGCCCCATGGTCCAGCAGGAGGCGGGTAACATCCTCCACCTTTGCATCAGGAGATCTCTGAATACCGTGGATCAAGGCACTTCTGCCCATTTTGTCACGGGCATTGACTTCTGCCCCCATCTCTTTCAGGAGAACCCTCAAGACATCGCTGTGGCCTCTTTTAGCAGCATCCATGAGAGCTGTGCCCCCTCCTTTCCCAAGAAGCTTTTGATCATTCTTTGGCTCTCGATGCAAATTCACATCTGCTCCTTTCTCATAGAGGAATCTTAAGGCTTCAACATTACCATGGCAAGCAGCTTCCATGAAAGCTGTGAAACCATTAGAATCATATTCATTTACATCTGCTCCCTTGGAAAGGAAAAGTCTAAGCAGCTCCACATTTCCCTCAATCCCAGCAATGATGAAGGAGGTGGCCCCATTCTTCTTCCTCTGATGAAGGTCAGCACCGTGACGAAGCAGAAGCTCCACGATGTCCTTGTTGCCACATTGTACCGCATTTTGCAAAGGTGTCCAGCCCCCTTCCTCCTCTTGGAAATTGACATCGGCACCTATTTTCAGCAATTGCTCTATCTGACTGATATCTTCTTTCTGAATAGCATTAATTAATGAATAACCATTTTCTGTCATAGCCCTTCTACTCTCGGAGGAATGGTCCAGACCATTAATCTCCATGATGGTAAATGCTGCTGGCCACTTTTTGCTTTTTCCTTGAGAAAATACAACTTATCTTCTTGGGATAAAATACAACTTATCTCCTTGGGATTTGACTAGCGTTTTGGAGTATAAGTTTGACTAGCGTTTTGGAGTATAACTTGGCCACACCCAGCAGTATAAGGCAGAACAATGTTCTTAGTCTTCCAAGATTCCCCCTGCAAACAAGAGATGCTGAATAATTTCAGAATACAGAGAAGGCATTTGAATCATAGAATTTACTTTTACTAGCAACCTTTTCCAAAGACATCCACTTTCTCATTATAGAAATTCTAAATTGTAGATATCATAAATATATGTAAATGAAAAATAAGAAAATTACTATTTGATAGTCCAGAAACAGCCACTAACAGTATTTCATTATATTTCTATAGGTTTCTTTCTTTTGGTCTTTTTTTGAGACAGGGTCTCGCTATGCAGTTCAGGCTGGCCTTGAGCTCACTTTGTAGCCCAGGCTGGTCTCGAACTCGCAACGATCCTCCCACCTCAGCCTGCCAATACTGGGATTACAGGCGTGAGCCACCACGCCCAGCACTTCCTATAGGTTTCTTAAATAGCTGGTATCTTGCTGTGTATCTCAGTTTTGCACCCCACTTCCTTCCATTCAATGCCATACTATAAATAATTCCTTATATCAAAAAGTAATAATTCCCTGTATTTTAAAAAAGCCTTTTAAATATTTTAATGGGGGGGCTGGGGATTTAGCTCAGCGGCATAAGCGCCTGCCTTGCAAGCAGGCAGTCGTGAGTTCAATCCCCGGTACCGATAAAAAGGAAAAAGACCAAAAATATATATATATATATATATATATTAATGATCCCATAATATACCATCATACAGTTGTTCAATTTGTCTATTGCTGAGTGGTTTTTCAAAATAAGTTTTGAAAAAGATTTTTAAATTCAAAATTTCTAAACAATCCCCAATGACATTCATTTTTAGCTTATTTTCTTATGATAGGTTTCTTATAGTCATAACCTATGACTGGTCAGAGTTATAATTATGTTTAGAATTCTCAGCCTATACTGTATTAACCATTTTTTCAGTGTTATGCAAATATATTCTTACCAGCAATAAATAGATTTTTTTTTAAAATTCATTTAGTATTAACCACTTTCTTCAATGTTATATAAATATACTCTTATCAGCAATGGATTCTTTTTCTAAAAAACTCATTGAGTATTAACAACTTTTTACAGTGTTAATAAATATACTTTTACCAACTACACATTTTTTTAAAAACTCATTTTATATTAACCACTTTTTTCAGTGTTATATACTCTTATCATCAATAAATAGATTCTTTTTTTAAAAAAAACTTATTTGGTAGGCAAAATGTATTTTGTGGTTTTGGCCAATGGCATGTCTTACATCATCAGCAAGCTGGTCACAGTGCTTTTTCCCCAACCCTGTGTGTGGCCTTTTTGTATGACTGTGTGCTTCTGCAATGGGAGTAGCAAGAGTTTCGATTCTCACCTGAATGAGCTCTGAGTTGGAGCCTTGATTACATAATTTTTCTTGACTGTTACTTCCTGATTGTGTCATTTTAGATTTGTGGAGTGTCTTGGATACTTTTCCCTCATGGCTGGGACAAAATATCCCAAAACCAAAATTAAGGGAGGAAAGGTTTATTTAGTTCACAGTTTGTGGAGGTTTCGGTCCATAATCAGCTGGCCCCAAGGCAGAGTGGCAGGGCACAGGGGCGACAGACAGTTCAAGGTCTGCAAAAGCAGGAAGAGCAAAAGGCGGAAGCAGGCCTCTTGTCCTCCTTTATGTTGTGAGCAGGCTGCCCTCCCACCCTTTCTGGGACTGGTGTGGCATTCACACCTTCTCCCTGCCTCCTCCTGCACTAACCGAGGATATGTACAAAGTAAGGATCCTGGCTCCTTGTGGAATCGTTTAGTTAAATTTTTAAACTTTTCAAGTTGACACAGTGTATCAACAACTGCGTGCGATTTTCAGTTTGCTCTATGGGACAACAATAAATATGGCCATGTGCACAGAGCACACTGAAGTGTGTAGCAAATGCTGAGTGCTGGAGGAATGGTAGAAAAATTATGTCGCTCTATGAAAAAAACAGCTTCAAGGAATCCTTATTCTCTCCACCCACATACAATTAACAGGGAATCTAGGCACTAGACTAATACAACTACTTTCAAGCAACTGCACCTCTTCAGACTCAATTCAATCACCAGACAGCCCCACGTAGTTACATGATCACTTAATAACTGCATCTGTCGCGAAATTCACAAAAACAGCCTGAGAACTAATCAAGTGAGCGACATAAGCAGGCGACCGGGCAGGGATGGGATAGGCAGGCGGTGCTGGTTACCGACAGGCTGCCAGCGTCAACCAGGGTGCAGAAGGAACGAGGGCAGGGCTCGGAAAGGGGCTCCTGGGGGGACGCCAAAGCGCGGGAAATACAGCCCTGAGCGCCAAGGAGCGCTGCTTTCACTTTCGTTTGCTCTGGGACATCCGAGGAGCTGAGAAGCGGTTTAAAGAAACAATGTGTGAGTTTCCCCTGAAAGCCAGGCTCCTGCAGCGGGCGGCCTCCCCTCCTGGCCTGTCCTCCCCTCCCGGCCTGTCCCCCAGGCCCTGACCCAGGGCTCCTCCTGGACGGAGCCGGCCAGCCCCCTCCCCGGCTCCCCGCTCACCTTCCGGAGGGACCAGGCACCCGAGGCCGAAGCAGCAGCCGAGCTCCCCTCCGGGACAGTCCAGCGGGGCCAGCGCTTCCTCCTGCTGCGTCCTGAGTCAGCAGGGCTTGGCCGGCCTCGGGATGGAAAGCAAAGAGCAGGGCGTGAGTTAGCACGCAGCCACTGTGGGACAGCAGGCGGAGGAAAAGCTCCTGCTGGCCCGGAGGAGGAAACTGATACCACACACCCTCCAGCCTCTGCACGGTTAGCCTGCGGCATCCGGCTCCATTCAACACACTGGCATCTTCTCCGTGTTCCTGGAATGCCTATTTGAGAGGAAAGAAGGGAAAATAAGCACAACCCATTATGCACTCAACTAACCTTTATCAAGTGCTGTCGTGACAGTTATTATGAACACGGACTATGGTGGTTTGCCCTAGGCTGATTTGCACACGCACTCATAGACTTCTTCATCAGTGGAATGAAACAGATCACACAAAGCTGAACAGAGCTCAGCAGGGTTTCAGGTTAAGATGACACAGATATGATCCCTGGCTGTCCTCCTGTGAGCGTGCTGACTGCAACTGTCCACTTTCCCAGCACGGCGTCCCGCCTCCTGCGCCTGAGGAGGTAACAGCAGTTAGAACGGTGGTGGGGAAGTTAGCAGCGGGTGGTGTGTGATAGCTCCTCAGTGTGCTCCGGAAACTGTCCTGACGCTGCGTATATAACAACTCATACACATGTTACAAAACCTCTTGAGGTAGCGATTATTTTTTTAACATTTTGTTTATTTAGAGAGAAAAAAACAAAGTAGTAAAAGGGTACAAGTAATACAGAATTTCAAGAAAAAAATATACAGTAAGAAATCACTAGTTAATAGGTTACATACTGTCATCTTAGAAACAGTTGTCCAAATTACAAAATTAAAGCATACAAACTGGACATTCATATAGTGAGATTGCACACAGTTCTATTCAGTGATCCAACAAAACCTCAGTAACATGGTTTTCTATCCTACACACTTAAATATACATGCAATTATATCCTTTGGACCACTTTCTTTTCCTCTCTTTTTTACATTAACAATTACACTTTTTGGGTTTTATTACTCCCACAGTTCTAATAACTTTTTTTTTCTGAAGAGGAAAAAAAATAAAAAGAAAAAAACCAAATGCAACAAAACAAAACAGAGTCAGTAAGAAGGATGGACACAGTACATGATGCAAAAACAGAAAACCAGGCGATCAAAAATGGTTACCATCATGCCTCTTGCTATCTTAAAAAGAGTTGCCTATATCATCAGGTATAATAGAATTGAACAAAACAGTACAGAACAAGACCAATAAAACCTACACTGGAGACCTTACAGGACTTCAAAAGAAGATAATAGTCAAACCATAATGGGCATCATAGTAAATCTTATTGCCACCTTCAAAGTGGTTGCCTATACCCTCAAACTTAATACTATCAAACAAAACAGAATATAGAAAGATCAGACAGAACAAGATGGGGAGAGCAATATTGGGGTTCAAATCAGTTCAATAGGAAAACAAAAAAGTTACTGTAATATATATCCCGCTATCTTTTAATTTAGTTTTCCCTTAATTAAAAAAAATAAGAAAAAATAAATTAATTTTTTTTAAAAAGTGAAAAAAAAGGGGGGGGGGGTGGAGATTGAGATAAAAGAGGACATAGTAACAGAACAACACAGGTCAGAACCGAACAATTTAAGCATCATAGTGTTTCACCACCAGATAACCTGACATAATAGTAGTCACCATAGTGTCTCTTTCCTTGAATTATTTGAGTATAACTTCATATACTATAGCATCAAACATAACAAGACAGTGTGAAGCCATTCAAGAGAATGAAAGAATTACAGGGTATTTAGAACCAGCTAACAGAAAATGAACAACGGTTTCTATATTATCTCTTTGCGTATAAAAAATTTTGTTTATACTATCGCATATAGTAAAATATAATAAAATACAACATATTAAAACCAATGGAAACAGACAAACAACAGCTTGATGGGACTTCAGAACAAGATGATATTAAATCAGCACTAGCTATTATGATGTCTTGTTTTCTTCAAAATAGCTATTCATACTACCACAGACAATAAAATCGAACAACCCAGATTAAAACCATTCTAATTAATGAGTGAAAACATTATATGGCTTCAAACCAATATGATTGGGAATCATGATTACCACGTACTTTTATGTATTCTTATCATTTCTTACACTAGGGAAACTATTCAGTATTTACACATGTGAGTTTGATTTATTTCACTTACGAGTATGGTCTCAAGCTGAATCCATTTATTTATAAATATCTCAATGTGATCATTCTTTATAGCTGAGTAGTAATCCATTGTATAAAAATACCACAACTTTTTTTATCCATTTCTCAGTTGATGGACACTTAGGTTGTTTCCAAGATCTGGCTATTACAAATTGCACTGCTATAAACATGGATGCGCATATATCACTGTGGTATGATGCTTTCAGTTCTTCTGGGAATATGCCTAGAAGTGGAATAGCTGGGTCAAATGGGGCTTCCAATCTCAGCTTTCTGAGAAATCTCCAGACTGACCTCCACAATGGTTGCACCACTCTACACTCCCACCAACAGTGCAAGAGAGTTCCCTTTTCCTCACAACCACTCCAGCATTTGTTGTTGGTGGTTTTCTTGATCTTGGCCATTCTTTCAGGAGTGAGATGAAATCTCAGTGTGGTTTTAATTTGCATTTCTCTAATGACTAAGGATGATGAACATTTTTTCATGTATTTATTTGCCATTTGTATTTCTTCATCTGAGAAGTGTGTATTCATCTCAGATGCCCATTTTTGGATTGGGTCTTTGAATTTTGGGGGTCTGATTTTTTTTAATTCTTTATATGTCTTAGACAGAAGTCCTTTGCCTGAGGGGCAGTTCACTAAGATTTTTTTCCCAGTTTTTGGGTTTTCTTTTCACTATACTGGAGATTTCTTTTGACATGCAGAAACTTTTTAATAGGAGGTGATCCCAGTTATTGATTCTGGGAAGTATTTCCCGTGCAATTTGAGTCCTGTTCATGAATTCTCTACCTATTCCTATGTCTTCAAGGTTTTTACCCAATTTTTCTTCCAATAGATTTAGTGTTTCTGTTTTAATATTTAGACTTTGATCCATTTAGATTTTATTTTAGTACATGGTGATAGGCATAAGTCTAGTTTTAGTTATCGGCATATGGAGAGCCAGTTTTTCCAACACCATTTATTATACAAACTGTCGTGCTTCCACTGAACATATTTGGCCCTTTTATCAAAGATAAGGTGGGTGAGAGTATTTGTAGTTGTGGTTCTATCTTCTAATCTATTCCACTGATCTTCAGCTCTGTATTGGTTCCAGTACCATGTTGATTTTACTACAGTTGCTTTGTAGTATAACTTCAAGTCAAGGATTGTGATGCCTCCTGCCTTGCCTTTGTTGCTTAGAACTGTCTTTGCTATTCTAGGTCTCTTCTCACTCCAGATGAATTTTAGGAGTGATTTCTTGAGATCTATGAGGTATGCTGATGCTATTTTTATTGGGATTTCATTGAATCTGTATAAGAGTTTTGGGAAAATGGCCATTCTCACAATATTTATTCTTCCTATCCATGAGCATGGGTGTCTTTCCATTTTCTGAGATCATCTTCAATTTCATTTTTCAGTGTATTATAATTTTCCCCACATAGGTTCTTTTGCAGGAGTAATTCCTAAATATTTCATTTTTTTTTTTGGTTGCTAGTGTAAAGGGTGCGGCTTCTCTTATTTCTCTCTCTGTGATTTTGTTGTTAGTGTATAGGAATGCTATTGATTTTTGAGTATTGATTTTGTATCCAGCCACATTACTGAATTTATTTATTATATCTAGGAGTCTTTAATGGAATTTGGGGGTCTTCTATGTAGAGTATCATGTCATCTGCAAACAATGATAATTTAACTTCTTCTTTTCCTTTCTTTATGCCTTTTATTTCTCTCTTGTCTAATTGCTCTGGATAGTACTTCCAGTACTATATTAAATAGAGGGATGATAAGGGACATCCTTGTCTTGTGCCTGATTTTAAAGTAAAGTCCTTCAATTTTTGGCCATTTAGTATGATACTGGCTATTAGTTTGTCATAGACAACCTTTATTATATTGATTAAAGACCATCTATTCCAATTTTCTGCAAGGTTCTTATCATAAATGAATGTTGGACCTTGTCAAAAGCTTTTTCTGCATCTATAGAAACAATCATGTGATTCTTATTTTTGGCTCAATTGATATTTTGTATTACATTTATTGATTTACGTATATTGAACCATCCCTGCATGCCTAGGATTTCCCACTTGGTCATGGTGTATGATCTTCTTGATGATTTGCTGCATCCTATTTGCCAATATTTTATTGAGGACTTTTGCTTCTGTGTTCATTAGGGAGATTGGTCTGTAATTCTCTTTTTTAGTTGGGTCCTTCTCAGGTTTTGGTACTAGAGTAATATTTGCTTCTAGGAATGATTTAGGAAAGATTGCTTTCTTTTCAATCTCATTGAAGAGTTTGAGGAGTGTTGGCATTAGGCCTTCTTTGTATTTCTTGTAGAATTCTGCAGTGAATCTGCCTGGGCCTGGGCTCTTCTTTGTAGGTAAGGACTTAATTACGTTTTCAATTTGATTAATAGAAATTGAGTTATTCAGCAGTTTTACATCTTCATGACCTAGCTTCATATGCTTCTAGGAATCTGTCTATTTCCTCTGTGTTATCAAACCTTTGAGAGTAGAGATTTTCAAAATAGGCATTGACAATCTTCTAAATTTCTATAGGGTCTATAATGATTTCGCCTTTTTCATTCCTTATTGCATGAATTTGAGCTTTTTCTTCCCTTTTTAAAATAAGGTTGGCTAGGGGCTTATCGATTTTATTTATTCTTTCAAAGAATCAACTCTTTGATTCATTGATTTTTTTTTTTTTTTGGTCTTTTTCTTTTTTATCGGTACCGGGGATCGAACTCACGACTGCCTGCCTGTAAGGCAGGTGCTTACACCACTGAGCTAAATCACCAGCCCCGATTCATTTATTTTTTTGGATTGTTTTCTTAGTCTCTATTGCATTGATTTCTGCTCTGATTTTTATAATTTCCTCTCTTCTTTTGGCTTTGGACTTGACTTGCTCTTCTTTTTCTAGATGTTTGAGGTGTAACATCAGGTTATTTTTTCCTGATGTGGGAACTCAGTGCAATAAACTTTCCTCTGAGGACAGCTTTCATTGCATCCCACAGATTCCGGTAAGTTGTATTTGTGTTTTCATTTGTTTGTAGGTATTGCTGAATTTCTTCTTTACTTTCCCCTGTGACCCACTGATTACTCAAGAGTGTGTTATTCAGTTTCCATGTGTTTGTGGGATTTTTGCAGTATCTTTTATCATTAATTTCTAATTTCATAGCACTATGATCCGATAGCATGCAAGGGATAATTTCAACTCTTTTGCATTTATTTAAATATTTTCTGTGAGTTAATATATGGTCTATTTTAGAGAATGACCCATGTACTGCTGAGAAGAATGTGTATTCTGATGTTGTTGGGTGGAACACTCTGTATATGTCTATCAAGTCCATTTGTTCACAGGTGTGATTCAGTTCTTTTATTTCTTTGCTGATTTTCTGTCTGGTTGATCTGTCCATTAGTGTCATGGTGTGTTAAGATCTGTATTGTATTACTGCTAATTTGGTTTTTCATTTCTGTTAATACTTGTTTTATATAACTGGGTGCTCTGGAATTTGGTGCATACATATTTAAGGTAGTTATCTCTTCCACTTGAAGTTTTCCCCTAACCAGTATGTAGTGACCTTCTTTATCCCTTCTGATCATTATTGGTTTGAAATTCACATTTCTGCAAACAGACTAGCTACCCCTGCTTTTTTTTGGGTTCCTGTTGCATGAAGTATTGTTTTCCATCCTTTGACTTTCAGTCTGTGAGTATCCTTTTGGATTAGATGGACTTCTTGTAGACAGCATATGGTTGGATTTTGTTTCTGGATCCATTCTGCCAGGCTGTTTCTTTTAATTGGCACATTGAGACCATTTACATTAATGGTTATAACTGTTGTATATTGGTTTATTGTTGACATGTTATCTTTCTGCTGTTGCATCTTTATCTTTCTGTTCTGTTTAATTGTCTGCTTTGTTTAGTGGTTTTTTCCTAAATGTATCTAGGCTATCTTTCAATATTCTTTGCAGGGTGGGCTTGGTGATCATGAAGTTCTTCAGCTCTTCTTTGTCATGGAAGTATCTTATTTCTCCATCGATTTTAAAGGACAGTTTTGCAGGGTACATCAGTCTAGGTTGGAAATCATTTTCCTTTAGGATCTGAAATACTTCACTCCGTGCTCTTCTTGACTTTATTGTTTGTGCTGAGAAGTCTGCTGTGATTCTGATAGGTTTTCCTTTATAGGTGATCTGTCTTTTCTCTCTGACAGCTTTTAATATTCTATTCTTTTGTTCAATTTCTGGGATGGGTATTATTATATGTCTGGGCATAGTTTTATTTTGGTTATGGCTATTTGGAGTTCTATATGCTTCATTGCTCTTGATATCCATTTCCAATCTCATGTTTGGGAAATTTTCAGCTATTACTTCTCTGAATATCCTCTTGACATCCTTTATGTTGTCCCCTTCTTTTTCATTTATTCCTATCAACTTTATGTTGTTTTTCTTTGCATCATATTGCAGTGGTTGAATTGTTGTTTCCTGATTTCTTGTCATTTTAAAAGATCTTTCCTTTCCTGTTCACTGCCTGCGATCTTGTCTTCGAGGTCTGAAATTCTATCTTCACATTCATTGAGGTGGTTTTTACAACTTTCAATGGAATTTTTGATTTCCTGTCTATCTCTTTGCATCTGCTTCATATATTCTGTTTGTTTCTTATATCATTCACCCAGGGATTCTATCTTTTTGTTTAGCTCCTCCAATTTTTTAACTATGTCTTCTTTAGATATGTTCAGCATCTCTTTCATTTCTTTTATCATTTCTTCTTTTACCTGAGAGATTATTTCTAGTTTGAATTCCTTTAAGGCTTCCCAGAGTTGCTTCTTTATTTCGGTTACTATTATTTCAGGTATTTCAGGTATGTGGCATGTATTTTCTTCTATGTACATGGCTCCTAGGCTTTCTTGGGATGGGCTAAATGTTTGAGATTGCATTTTGGTCTTTAGTTTTGTCATTTTCCTATATTTCCAAGCTTCAAGTGTTGTTCCAAGCTTCCCCTGGGCATGTTGGAAATTGTCTCTTATGTCCTGGACTCCTGGGACTCCTCTGGTAGTGTAGCTCCCTCCTTGGGCAGTGAAGCCTCCCCCCGCCCCCCAATAAGAGAAGGTTGCCAGCTCCTCTCAGGTAGACCTAAAGCCTCCTCAAGCTACACAGCTCCCCACTGTGGCAGCAAAGCTTTCCTCCTCAGCAGGGCTGCTTCCTCCTCCAGGTGGTGGCAGTAGTGCTTGAGCTCCCCAGGCCGAAAGAAGGTCTCAGGCAAGGTCAGAGCAGTTTCCTGCAGCTTGGCCCAGTTCCCTCCTTCAGGTGGGGCAGCTGCCGTGTGCCTCCAGGTGAGAGAGGGTGGTCAGCAAGGCTGGAACAGGGTCCCGAGGCTCAGCCCACCTCACGCTTTCTGACAGGCAACTGCGGTGTCGGTATAATTTTGCTGATGAGGAAACTGAGACAGAAAGTGATTAAGCAGCTTGCTCTGTTCTTGAGTTTTGAACTACACTGCTGAATAACAGAACAACACATACTTCATGGAGTCAGATAATGAACAAAATAAGTAAATCAGTATATTTTATGGTGAAAAGTCTACGGGAATAAGTAGAATAAGGGGGATTGAAAGTGCAAAGATAGGAACTGTAATTTTCCAACACAGGATATTTGGGTAGGGCTGCCTTCAATAGGTGACATTTAAGCAAAAACTCAAGGAAGATATGGAAGCATGCAGTACAAATTTCACGGGCAAGAGCACAGAAATCAGAGTGAAACCACAAGTGCAAAGGCCCTGAGGCAGGAGCACGCATGGTGTGATCAAGGAGCTGCATGGAGGCCAGTGAAACTGACACAGTGAGGGGAAATGATGTGGCGGTAAGGCCTCTCAGGACCACTGTAAGCACTTCAGTTTCAACACTGAGCACAATGATAGTCATTGGAGATAAGCAGAAGGGGAAAAATATAATCTGAGTTATGCATTTACAGATTCATTTTCAGTGCTGGAGATTAGAGTTACATTAAACTTAGGCTCAGGGGGCTGGGGATTTAGCTCAGTGGCATAAGTGCCTGCCTTGGAAGCAGGCAGTCATGAGTTCGATCCCTGGTACCGATAAAAAGGAAAAAGACAAAAAAAATAAATAAATAAATAAACTTAGGCTCAGGGTACCTCCATATTGAGTCCTTACATAACAAACTTCAGCCTAACTTAGCACATAGAAACTAACTAAAAGCCTAACTTACAAGCTTACTTTTATAAGCCAGCCAATCCACAGCAAGTCTTCAGCCAGTGGCAGGTGGCCAACAGCCTAGACCATGTTCCAATCAGGCAGAGGCTGAGCTGTAACCAGGCAAGATGTCTCTGTACCGCTCTGTCTATAAATGCCGCCTGACCAGCTCGCAGGCTGGAGTTGTCTAAAGCTATTCTGGTTTTGAGGGCTGCCCAACTCATAAAACACTCTTGGCTCAGTTAAACCCTGCTAAGTCAAATGTGTTTAAAGATTTTCATTTCATAGAAGCTACTGCAGTAATCCAACTGAGAGGCTGGGTATAGTGGTGCTTGCCTATAATCCCAGCACTCCAGAGGCTGAGGCAGGAGGAGTGCCAGGAGGTCAAGGCCAGCCTAGGCTACAGAGTAAGACCCTGTCTCAAATAAATAAATAAATAAAAGGCTGAGAACCAGCAGTGGTTCAAGACCAGGGCAATAGCTACTGGTAACAGTAGCCATTATAGTGGCTATTACTTTGTCTTGAGCAGGAGAATTGGTCAAGACTCCCGGAGAATAGGGGCACTTGTGGAAGCCCTATAAGAAGGAACACAGCTGTATGAGATACAGCTAGGTGTGATAACCAGCTGCCTCCAGGGAGAGCTCACCCCAGGATCTGCAGAGAATCTCATGGTTCATCATAGACTTGTACAGGGTTTGGGCTGTGTCAGCTGTTTTGGGGCTCCAGGACATAGGGGTTTGTTCCTAACTGGATGTCATTGGGAAGCGGGCAATTAAATGATTGGTGCCCAGATTGCTAACATCTGGAAAGAACTGAGTGGAGCTGGCATTTTCACTGACACAGAAGCAGAGCCACTCACATTAGCACCTGCTAATGTGGACACCCAGCTGCTCCTGTGGTGGCAGAGCATCCCGACCGTCTCATATTCAGTCCTCATTAAGAGGTGGCTCAGTTTTGTCTTGTTCCACACGGATATGGGGTGACCTCATCTAATCGATGTTTATGTTCAGTGGAAGCGCTGCATACAGCTAGTTGTTAGCTGCCAGCTGCCCAGGCATTTTTCTCATTTTTGTTTATTGGTTTTCTCTGTTCTCATATTTAGAGTTCAGCCCTATTTCCAAAGCAGATATTGATTTTATATAATGGGAAATAAACTCCACTGGAATAAAAATCCAACTGGTATCAATGGATCATTTTGGAAAATTAAATTAAACACTTCTTTCCAGAGCAGAGTCTGAAATGACCCCCACAATGGATCCCATGGAGGTGTTTCTGACCGATTCTTTAAGTGGTAGATTGACAGGCCTTCCAAAAACTGTTTTTATTTTTCTGAAATTCCTGAAAGGATTTCTATCATTTAGTGTTCACTAGAGGAACAGATTTAGTCCATACGGTATAAAGAATTTACAAGGCTGGCTTCCCATGGCCACCCAGAGTCAGGAGTGGGCATTCAGAGGGTCCAGCCAAAAGCTGCAGGTCTGCTGAGAGTCCGTATCTGGAGGTCACAGGATCTGCACTGGAGTCTGAAGAGTCCACCCTGGAAGCCTGGAGACAGACTCCCAGAGGCAGTGAAGTGCGGCTCCTCTGAAGAGTGCAAGTTCCTCCCCCTTTCCCGTTTTACTCCATCTAGGTTAGAAACCTATTTGTTGGTGCCACACACACCTAGGGTGAGTCTTTCCTCCTTAGTAAGTCAGTCATCCAGGCACACCCAGAACTGTGCTAAACTAATCTGCTGAGTGTTGTTTTTTAATTTAAGTTCATACCACTACTGTCACAGGATTTGAGGTGACTTACACAAAGAAGCACAAATACAATTAAAGCCTAACCATTAACACAAGAGTAAGAAAGTCACGAATAATAAAGTAGGAAAACTATCCTATTTCAATAGAAAATTAACTCTAAGTCAAGGCCAAAGTAGAAGCAGCCAAAACTCACCCCGTCAAAGAGGGGAAGTCTCGTGGGAGGCGCGAGGTAGAAGCCAGGAGTCGCCCCAGACCATCTTGAGCCGGGAGAATCAAGGAGGCGGGAACTAAGAGATGCAGAGTCTGACCATGTTCTGGTAAGAAGAGAGACTGTCTGTCCTCAAACAGCCCCAGTACTGGGCTGGGTGCAGGGGTCCAGGCTGAAGCAGGAACCACCAAATGCAGAGGACGGCGGGCCCCGGAGCGAAGGGAGAACCTAGCTAAAGACAGAGAAGCCAAGCCCAAGGAGAAACACAGGACGTGGGGCCTCCCCCTGCCGTACTCAAGATGTTAGAACTGATCAGTGTCCTCAGTCTTTCTTTCCTTTGACCAAGGACACCCTCTACACTGTGGAGATTGGCTCTGAGTTTGGGAATGAACTGCATTTCACTTACCAACATCTTTCTCTGCGGCTTGCTGGTAAGTCAGTGGCACCAAGATGAATCAAGAAGAAGATGAGCGTCCTCACATCAGCAGTGTGAGAAGGGTCGGGGGATGGTGTGAACTCCGTGATAAGTACTTTTCAAAATTCTTTTTCATTCTGTCATCACAAAAACTCTTGGAAGCTGATGTGATTGCTGTTCACAATTTACAGCAAAGAGTGAGGTTCTAGGAATTTGATAATGTGGTAAAAGCGTTCACTAATAAGCAGCAGGCACAGCTGGGTTCAGTCATGGAACTCTGAGCTGCGAAGTTGGCCCCTGAAACGGGCACAATGGAATTGGCAAAGGCGATTATACTTCAGCACTGAGCCATCCCTGAAGCTGGAACTCATTATGAACAGAAGGTTAATCCACACATTTTCATTTTTTAAGTTTAAATTAAATTATCATATAGGTTAGTAATCACAGTTTAGAAATCACCGACACTGTAAGTCTAAGATAGCTTTCTAAATGATGGGGTGCTCACATTCTACTTTCTAGCACCTGACTGCCTTGGCTCTCTTACCCTTAGGGTCATAGCTCGGTTATTTAATTTCCAACCTCGCTTTTCTTCCTTAAAGCAGTTTGCATTACTCGGCTACGCAAAAGCATCAGTGATAGTGAACCATCTTGAAATCAGCATTTAACAGACCCTGAACACCTTTTCCTTTTCCTAAGAGCTTTAATTTTAGAGTTAATCAGCTCTGTGGACTAAAGAAATCTTGGTTTAACTCCTATGCCCGCTGTGCTGTATTATCAGCTATGTTAATAATAACTCTAGTTTCACTAAAATTTATATGCATATTAAAATGAATTAATGAACAAAGCCACACTGAAACGAATTACAGGTATTAGATATAATCCCAAAGAAAGAAGTTAACTTTTACAAGTGACAAAAATCAAATAATTCATTCCTCCAAAAGGGTGCATTGTCTATCATAACCACAGGGAGGCAGCAGAGGGTGACAGGAGGCTCGGCCTTCCGCGTTTGGGCAGCAACTGGTATCTGTTTCAGGACAGCACAAACCAACTGACTGACTGAGTACACTGGCTTACGACTACCTCCACCCTTACACTTCCTGGTCTGAGATTCTGGGATGCTGTGAACATCATATACTGTACACTACCGCGCTGAGACTAGTACACTAGAAAGAAAAGTTGAGTTAGAATCCTGAGCTCAAATCTTGGTTCTGCCATTTTATTTTAAAAAAAAATCGATAAATTGTCTTCACTAATTTTCCTGCGCTAAGGACTGAGAACCAGGCAAAAATAAAAGCTCATGGTGTATCTGTGCGGCATGAACATGGTGCACTCTGAAACTTGGGCTCAAATAACTTCCCAAGGTGAAAGGGCCAAGACTCCAGCCCCAGCACCTTGGCTCCCAGGCTGGGCTGTGAGTCGCCTTTCTGTGCTCTCCCATTGCCATGGCCCTGAGGAGCCCAGCCACATCCTCCACACTACAATCAAGATAAGAACATGTGTCTTGAAGGCTTCCACTGAGAAGATGATATTTATTGCTAGATAAAGTTGGCATTGATTGCTTTTAAAGTTGGCATTCTCCTTACCTCTCAATTCCCAATTTTAAAAAAGAGGAAGAAAAGGAGGGCATTGCAAGCAGAGGGAAGAGCACGTACAGAGCCACAATAACAGGGAGGGCCGAGTCTGAGCAAAGGCCCTCTGCACAGGAGCTAAGTCTGGAGAGAGAATCAGCTCAGCTCAGAGGGAGCTTTGCAGCGGGGTAACAGCTGGACTTCATCTTCCGGTCAAAAGCGAGCCACTGAAGGGCTTTAATGCGCCCTGAAGTGCTCAGATTTGCACTTTTCTTGGGAGACTGGTGCAGTGGGAGGGGGAATGAGCCGGCACAGTGACTGGGGTAAGGACGGCAGGTGGGAAGTCGCTGCGGCCCAGGTTGGAGAAGACAGACTTGTCTATAGAAGCCTGAGGGGAGGAGATGTTGGGTCCAAATTATTTGGGTTTTATGGGGATCCATGTGATGGGGAGCAGAGTTAGAGGATCCTAATCTGGGTCCAGTGCCTAATCTGAGCACCAGAGGCTGAGGGTATCTGAGGAGGACAGTGATGATCTCGGTTTTGAATGTGTTACATATTGAGGGTCTGTGGGATGGCCAGGAAGAGAAGCCGGGGAGGAGATTGAGAATAATAACCCAACTTTTCTCTTCATGGATTTTTTTTTTTTTTTTTTTTGTACCAGAAATCAAACTCGGGACCTAGTGCTTGGCAGGCCTCTCTTCGTGGATTTTAAACTAACCCTTACCTAGGGTTAGTTGTTTGATAAGCACTTGATACATGCTAGACCCTGGAAACAGAAAACTGGAAAAGAGGTCAGGCCTAACCCAGAAACCTGCAGCTGGGTGGAGCGGGGTGAGAGAGGAGCAGGACGGCAGACCTGGGAGGTCTGCGGGAGTTTGCTGGGGACCCGGCTGTCTGTTAAGCCAGTGCCGAACAGGGCCGAGGCAGAGCCTGTGAGGCTAAAGGTATCAGAGGTCATGGTGTAGCCGTGTGATCTTCACTCAGTCACTCAGACTCTAGGACCAAGTGGCATGGGGCTATTTGGAGTCTGACACACAGGAACTGTAAGGTCAGTGAAGAGTCGATTTTTCTTATCTCTGATGTTCACCTGCCACCCCCAGGACACAACACAGACCCCAAGGCCAACCAAGGAAAGGCAGGCTAGCAGAATGGGACTGAGCCTGGAGAACGGTCTTGCTGGACAGACACAAGCACCGGTCCTTCACGGCTCTCCATCAGCCCAGCCGTTCATTTCTTCCACTCGTGGGTTACTGTCCGCTTCCTACCGGGACTCACATCACTTCAGAAGATGCACAGGATGCGTCTAAGCTTATTCCAAGCCCCTTTTTCCCATTAAATGAGGCTACTTGCTGCTGATGGTATGGTGACTGTTTCTGATTCTTTACCAGGTAGGTACATAGGAGGTACTCAAGGAAAGTACCCAGGTACTGTCTCTCTTCCCTGCTCATGGCCCTCTGCCCATCTCAAGCACACCAGCTGCCCGCTCGCCAGTGTAACAGAGCTCCCGCCTTCCTTCCCAGTCCCTTAATGTCTGAATCCCTCCTGGTGCCACCCCTCTGGTGGGTCTGGGTTTAGGATGTGATTCTATGGGCTTCTGTGATAAGTACTCAGGCTCTCACAAGACACAGAACAGCTTGTGCTGAGTCCTGGTGAGACGGACAAAGGATACAGACTGAAGGACAGCACAGAGCTGTCCCAGTCTGCAAAGAGCCCGGCACAAGTTAAGCTGTCATCAGCTAACACAAGTCACCCACCCTGGTGGCCACCCTGAGCACCACCTATCCCCTCGCGGTTCGGGTGTCACATGTGAAATGGGAGTTCACTCACCTGCCCTGCTCCCCCGGACACCTCCCCAGCCCAGGTGCCCATCCACAGCCCTTGGAGACAAGACACTGCATCTGAGTTTTATTTTTATTTTATAAGAATATAGCATGCTGACAGAGACTGCATACATCACTCATATCAAGGAACCCAGTTCCCTTGGTCAACAATAAATAAATATTTAAACAGTGATGCATTCCTGACAGCCCCTAAGTGGCTCCCAGCACATTCAGAGGTAGAGTCTGGTGGAGGGGGACAATCAGGCAGCAACTCCTGCTAAGATTCTCCCATGGAGAAAATGAATCATAATAATAAATAACAAGGACAATAATGATAACAAAAAATATATAACACATAATGACAATCAACAACAATAACAAAAATAATACATGACACTCGGCATATCGCCAAAACGTTATACTTAAATAATTCTCGCCCAGAGGAGTTCAAGTGCACAGAGGGCAGTGGTGGCCAGCCCTGCACTAGAGGGCGCTGTCCAGGTACACTGTCTCCCTGTCCCGGCTCTGCAGCTGGGAGTCTCAGCTCAGAATATCTTGTCTGGTGAGACCGGAGCAGGCAGCCGGCTCCGACCATCCCAGCCTTGCCCTTTTGAGCAGCCCCAAGCCCCAGCTTCAGTCTCAGCCTCTCCACTCTGCTCCGGGGTCATCTCAGTCTCCGCCCGTCTCTCCCAACGCTCCAGCATGCATCTCAAATCCACAGGAAAGAAACCCAAGGCTCCTCTTCCACCCTGAGGCATCTCTTTATCCCTGCTCAGGCCCACAAAAAATAGTGGTTTGGTTTCTGCAGGACTTTTGGGGTTTGCCAAGAGATTTGTTTCTTTTGATCCCGTTCCCCCTCATTCCCTGCTCCCCAAGGCCTTCACCTCTCCCCCTGGGCCTCACTTCCAAGGGCTCACAGAGTCAGCAGCCTGCTCATAGGTGGAACTGCTGCTCACACAGAGCTGGGGCCACCTGCATGAGGCCACCAAGAGCACAGGCTGTGTTCACATGCACAAGGTGGCCCCTTCTTGGGATTCATGGGCCAGTCTTTGAGGTATATATATGTTATTCTGGGCAGGAATCTTGGACTTGCTGACCTTGAAAAGACTGCAAGGAGGGACATGGGGGAGCATTAGGAAGCTGAAGCCAAGGTGCCCTGGGGTGATCTGGGATGGGGACTGCTGAGCAGGGCGGATCAGGAAGATTCTGTAACCGGGCTCCTTCTGAGCCATCAGAGAATTAGGGAACCAAGAGGTGAGCAAAGTCAACTGATCCACAGGCAAACTTCTGATTGTCTTCCTCTCGCCTTTTCAAGTTTCCCTGGAATCTGCCCTTGCCCCCAGAGGGAAGCTCAAGAGCCAGGGCTAACAGCTGCACCCCGGTTTGTCCCCAGACCTTAGCCCCAGGTCCCAGGCGTGAGGGTTGTTCTCACACATGGCCCATAGTATCTGGAGGAGTGGGTGTTCCACTAGGCTGCTGGGCCACTTCCCCTCCACTGTCCCCTTGCACTTGCTGGACAGAACCTGCCTCTCCGACCGGGGCAGCCGCCTCAGGGATGGGTGACTCCACCTCTCTTCCTGCTGGCTTCTTCACTGCCCTGGAGGTTCAGGTATGCGAGGGCTCAGCCAGGTTGCAGCTGGATGCAGAGGCGGAGGTGGCAGAGGCTTGGGCAGCCAGGTCCCGGTAGGCTGGCGACTTCAGGAAGCGTGGATAGGAGTCCTTCTCCATGAGGGTGCGTGTCTTTCCCTGTGCCACGTCAAAGCACATGGCTGTGGCAGCCTTCAGGTTCGTCCTTGTCAGTTCCCGAGTCTCATGGTCTATGTTCACCTGTGGAAAGGAGCAATCATAGGGTCAGGGGTGCAGAAGGAGCCAAGACAGGGGCTCGGGGGTTGCAGAAGGGTCAGCGGGTGGGAGCTGTGCAAAGAGCACAGGAGTCTCCCGTGTCAGGACAAGCTCTTCGGCTCTGGGGCTGTCCCTACTGCAGATCTAGCGTCTCTCTTCCAATCCCTTGGAATTAGTGTGAGGATGCTCTAGAAGTATGCAAACCCAGCCTCCTTGTGCCACTTCTGTTACAGCCCTGGTTCAAGTCACCACTATCTCTCTCCTCCAGGTCCTCTCAACTGGTCTCTTTCTTCTTCCCTCATGCCCTGTCTGTCTGTCCTGGCAGACCGAATGCACTTTTTAAAACCCTCTCTGCCTAGTCAGGCCTTTGCACTTGCTACTTCCCTGCTAGCACGTCTTTCCCTCCCTCTGTCCTTCCATCTCTCCCCTTACAGGACACCTGATAAACAGCCCACTCCTGACTTCCCTTTGTCCACTCACCCCACTGCAGCCCTCAGTGCTCCCTGTATTTCATAGCGGTCTTTTGCTGTACCAGAGCATAAATCATCTGACCTGCTTGTATTTATTTAAGTGGCTATTGGAATTTTCCATTGGTATATAAGTTCCACTAGTAGAGAGACTTTGTTTTATTTATTACTATATTCCCTGAGACTATAACTTCTGTTCAATAAACTTTTATGAAATTAACACAGACTAGTAAATAAAAGCAGTCAGAGAACAATGTAACAGATTCAAATTTGAGGCACTACTCCAATCTGTCCACTAGGGGACTCCACGTTTTTATTCAAACTGAAAAGCCAGCCAGAAGGAAGACTGAATTGCAAAAAAAAAAAAGTTCACTGACCACAGGTCAGCCAGGGGACCAAGCCAAGCTGCACAAGGTCTCAATGATGACCTTGTCTCTCCAGTTGTTAAGTATGTTGAGGGTCTAAATATAAATGATTTAGAAAGGTGTGTGTGGACACAAGCCAAAAATCTTTCTGGCCCATCCTGTACCATCTGAGTCTGATGTCCCGCAGTAGCACTGAGCTGGCTTTTCCAGTCTCTGGCCTCAGGAGCCCATCTCCCTGTGACAAGCCCACTCAACTTCAAAACCACCCCTTCATGTGTCAGCCCCACCCCACTCTCCTAGGCAAAGGGAAAGGATGAAGGATTCCTAGACCATGTTGGGGTGCTGACCTCTTTAGGGGCTTCGCTGCGAATGAACTCATCAAAGATGCAGTGAGCCCTGGAGGCTAGTTTGGCAGCTGATCGGATCTTCTTGAACTCCTCGCATGCCAGCCAGAACTCCAGGTTCTCCTCACTAAACTCTGTCTTCAGGAAGGCGTGGAAGGCGGCCACTCCATCTGGGGTGGAAGAGAAAGACAGGGAAACAGGTCAGACTGGGGGACAGCTAGGGATAAAAGAAGAAAAGATAGCAACTGCAGTTAATGGCTCTATTTTTAGAACGTAATCTTCTTGGACAAGGGCCTGCCTTTGTATGTTGAATAGAGGCTGGCATCATTATGATTATTTCTATTACGAGTATTTTCCCGTGTTTTCAACATCCCTGGCTCCAAAGCACGTGTGTGCACACGCCACCCACAGACAGACACAAGAGTCCTACTTACTCTTACTGCTCAGCAATGAGTCGAAGGACTCTCTCCACCCCAGCACATCTTCGGAGATGCATCTACTAAACAATAAAAAAAGATTTAAAAAACTGTTTTTAAATCAACAAACCAAACAATAGAACAAATTCTAGCTAGTGCTCTTATAAGAAGCCACATAATTTACGCACAGACTTGCTCAGTGGTTGTTGAAGCTGACTCCTCAAAACTAGGAGTTTAGCTCTGGATTTAGGGTAAGTGAGGATGTTTTCTAAAGAACAAATCGGCAACCTGACAATGAGCCAAGGTCTTTTTTGGCCTCAGTCATTATCTCTAAGTCTGTCTCTTCTCTGTCCAAAATTGTTTCTCCAACCTGTGTTTTATACACCTCCCCAAGGAAAGACAGGTCTCACAGGAGGATACCACCACCCTAGGGCAGCACTGATCATAGTCTAGGCAAGGTACTTGCACCAGTGGAAGCAGAATTGTTAATAACAGCTTCCAGAGGTCTTGCGCCCTGTCCTAGCTCTAAATGTCCATGTGGTGACACCTCCAGATGGGAGAGTCTGGTAGGCAGGCACTCATGCCAGGAATGCAGTTGTCTGTTGGTGGACTTAAAACCCTAAAGATACCTATTCCTTTTCACCCCTGAGCCAAAGCAGCCACAGCAACAAAAGCCCCAGTGAAGGGCGGCCCAGGTGCATCTAGCGTGCCCTAATTCCTCCTGGTATTTTCCTTCTCGGGCTCCCTCCCCACTGGGGGCCCCGGACTGGATAAAACTTACCCCTCTTTGCTGTGTTTACTGCCCCACTCGAACTTGCCAACACTGCCAGTATCAGAGCCCAGCTCTGCTTTGTGAAGAAAGATCCCCAGACGCGTCTTGAACTCTTTGGCTCTGAAAGACAAATCATAAACATGGAAGGATTCTCCGTTTGCTCAGCTAGCATTACTCTCTGGTGGTTCCCAGAGCCAAAAGTGTGCTTTTCTTGTTACCATTATCAAGCCTGAAGCAACAAAAGCAAGTATGAGCTCTATCTTGGGAGGTCTTACACTTTTAAGGTTACAACACTGTATATGTTGGCTGTTCCTATTTAAGTCACACTGATCTATCTTTGTGCTGCTTGATAGCAGCTCAGCATTCCTCAGGCTTGTCAGGATATTTCTGGAACTGTGTGGAAACTGATCCCTGCCTTCATCTTTACCTCTTGCTACTCAGCCAACAGTTTCAGTAAGGGTTACAAGCTGCTGAATTAGCTTTCTAGAAAGTTTGCAAATCTCTGGCCGGTGGGATACAGAATGGATTCTTCTGTCTTCCCGGGGCAAAGGAGGCCAAGCCCCTAGCTCTGGGCCATGGAGTGAAAACCAGGTGCTTGTGAAACCGGGACAACCTCAGTTTAGCCTGACGATGCCCACATACTCATCCTGAGGCAGAGTCTTCAGCAGAAGGGACTTGGACTGAGAAGCGCCCTTTTCACAGGACAGGAATGGCAGCAAGCAGGGAAGCTGGGCTTCCCTCACCCTTTCTTTCACCTCCTGGCACCATGGTGATGTCTGCCCCTCTACTCAAGTCACCCGCCCGGGTCCTGCCCAAGTCCCCAAGCCTGCAGCTCCGCTCCCGAAGTTGACGGGCTTGCACTTTTTCCTCGGAGGAGCGGGACTGCCCTTACCTTTCCAGGCAGGTGGTGGGAAAGGCGGCCAGGGTGCGGCACATGGTTGCGGGCGCAGGACAGCACGTCTTGGGAAGGATGGTGACCCGCTCCAGTAAGCTCGCAGCTACAGACTGGAGGACACGCGCAGGTCCTTGCGGGCTGCACACGCGGGTCTGCCGCCGCCGAGCCTTTTATCCCCTCGGAGCGGCGGAGAGGGGCGGGGCTGGATGCCGCTGGCCAATCGCAGAGCGGGGTGGGGGCTGCGCTAGGCGGGGCCAGCATTCCGACCGGGCGGGGCGCGGTCAGCCCTGCGGGCGCGGGGGGAGCTGCCCCTCCTCCTCCAGAGCCGCCCGCGTGGGGAGCGAGGAGCTGCGGAGACGAGGCTCGCGCGGCAGCTCGGTAGGAAAAAACCCACCGACCTCTAATAAAATCAGGAAACGAAAGCAACGGCGTCAGGAGGGTTTGCGTGGAGGTGGCAGGTCGGGGAGGCAGACACGGAGGCGATCACAGGAAAATCTGAGTCTCTTAGATCTTGAAGGACAGGAGCACAGGGTGCAGCCCGGGCAAAACCGCGTCATGAGTGTACCGGTAATTACCATGCACTGCGTTCCTGCCCCGACGGCCGTCGGGCTGAGTAAGCTCCCCATCATCATCCTCTCCATTTTCTAGATGAAGAAACTGAGGGTTGGAGAGGAAAGAAACTCGCGCGAGGGCAGAGTTGGAAGCAGCAGATGTGTGGGGAGGGTGCGGTTTGTTGAACACCTACTATGTGCCTGGCACTTTCTGAAAGACTCTGAGAATTAACAGATCGCTGTAAGTGGTGCCAGAATTTAGATTTCAGATATGAGTTACGCATACTTTCCCCAATGCAGAAAAATAAATAAATAAGCCCACTACTGTAACTGGGCGGTAATGCTGGGTGAGCAGTCCCTTGATCGGTCTCCCCATCTCTGAGATAAAGGTAATAAAAACTCTGCCTCTCCTCAACCTCCCATGAAGGCATTATGGCCATGCCCATTGCCCTGCAGTTCTTTTTACATTTCTTACTTTTTTTTTTTCTTTTTCCTACACAGGGTCTTTCTAAGTCTCCGGCTGAGCTTAGACCTACAGCCTCCCTGCCTCAGCCCTCCAGGTTACTGGGCTTAGAAACACGTGCTGCCATGTCCAGTCTGGAATTGCTATTAAGAAGGTGCAAGGGAGTTGAGAGCACAGGGTTTAGAAATGGACTTTCGGATCTCAAACCAGGGCTCTGCCACTGACTGATGGGAGACCTCGAGCAAACTTCCTCTCCTCTTTATACCTTTGTTTTCCTTGTCTCTAAGTCACCAAAGCACTGGTTTCCTAAGGCGGTTGAGAGGCCTAAATAAATTCCGTGTTTGAGTTCCCCAGGAAATGCATGGTAAGGCCGAGGCTTGCCAGGGGAGGTTTGCAGGGGAAGAGGAAGGGAGGAAAGCAGGGCTGGGCAGAGGGAGGGGTGAATACTGAGAGGTTCAAGGAGCACCTGGCTGGCCCAGGACTTGCTCTGGAGTTCCAGCAGCCATTCAAAACTGTACCACAGAGGCAAGGGGGCCATGCCTTCAGTTTCCAGGCAGGAACTTACAGAGACCCTCTTGGAACTGGCCCAAAAAGGTGGCCTGGTTTTCAGCAGTGTGCCCTCCATCATGAGTAACTAGTAGAGAGAGCCTACGACAGACTCCAGACAGACAGGGCGGCCACTGACCTGAGGAGGGAACCCAGGGACATGTTAAGGCCTCCACATCAGGGGCTTGTTGCCAGCATGCAGGCAACTCTTGATAAATGTTAGCGTTCCGTTTTACTTGGTAGGCATACTGGGATCCTAGGCAGTAAGGAAAAATAGCAAGTATGTTGGTTTTTATTTCATAAGGACCATTTAAAGGTTGCTTTCCTTGGAAGGCATGCTCTGTGTTCCTGGAAGTAAAGAGTCAGAAACGAGAGACAAAGGGGGAAGACATCCTGTCTGTGAGCTCTTCCAGAGGGCTGCAGAGAGGGGAAGAAAAGGAAGAACCATCTAGGGGGAGAAGGAGAGGGAGGCTTGTGAGTTAGCAGCTAAGTTTGCTGGGGCAACAAAGGCCAGAATCAGAGCACTTGACTGCTGGAATAGGTGCCCTCGGAGGCACACGTATAATAGGTGCCCGCAGCCAGAGCCTGTGGAAAATGACCCAGTTACTCAGTACAGCACACATGGGTTGCAGTCATGGCTCTTTGAAAATGTCCTGGTTGCTCCATGGAGAACAAAGCCAGCAGGCAGCTCCAGCCCCACACAGCCTTTCCGGGTGGTCTCAGATGCCAGCATCCCACCGCATTCCTGTCCTGCCAACCAGCTCTTCTACCTTCCTCACAGGCCCGCGGATGGACTAGGGCAGGGCAGGGGTGCAGCCAGGAGTGGGAAGGTACCCTGTGGACACCGTGTTTTTGAGCAGTCCTTTGTCCCCAAGGCAAGGAGCCTCCCCAGCCCCACCAGCAGGACACTGTGGGTGGAGTTGGTCAGCTGAAGGTTTATGCTTCACCTGGTGCTGCTAGTGACACTTTCGTTGTGCAGCTGCCAGGTGGGGATGTGGGAGTTGTCTGTGAGCCAGCTGTTCTCCAGGCAACAAAGATGAGTTTACGGATGGGTCAAACCCATGTTTAAATCAGCCCAGACATGGCTGCACAACAATAATACTGATTATGCAGAGAATCCCCTCAACCCTTTCTGTCCTTTCTGTGTCCCTCTGAACAGACTAGAGGAGGTTTTAAATTTCCATTTTCCAGACAACAAAGCAGCAGTGCCTGAGGTGCCTTTAAGTAAGCTAGAACTGGAAACCGCTGAAACCAGGACCCCACCTCCAGATTCCTGAGCCAGTACTTTCTTAAGTTCAACAAAGGCGAATAGACAAAGGAATTAGAGCACAAACCTCCCTGCTGAAGATGAAGAGCCCTCTCTAGTTCAGCCTGCCTCCCTGTTGCCATGGTTACCTCTTCAGTTTCCAGGCAGAAACTTTTTGAAGTTCACAATTTATCCCAAATTCTCTTCCCAGCAGGTCAGTTTGTGTCTGCAGTTTCAGTAACCTCAATGACTGACAGTTGCTGTAAACCCAGCCAATTGAACTCACTTCTGAAATGCATTGGCTTTGACAAAACCTGACCTCGCTTTTGTCCAGTACCCAACGCTGCTGTGATATGCTTAATGGAGGGTGTGGGGACAGCTCTGCAGCCTGGGTCATCTGAGATCAGGATCTAGACAAAGCTGGGGTCAGGATTAAACATCCCAACATGTCCTGGGTACGCTGCCCTTTATGTCTGTCAGCCTCTCTGCTCTTTGCCCCCAGAACATCCTTCCAAAGTAACAGAAGTCTAGACAGCATCTTTGTCTACTGAAAGTGAGTAGAGGAAATGAAAACACTCAATATCTGATTCCACACAGATGATTCCTCCCGAGGTCGGGAACCTTCACATAAATATTAATTAATAAATAAATATTCATTAAGAAGTTACCATAGTCCCAAATTGGTGGGAAGACGGCCTGTGAGGCTTCTCCCTGACTCACGGACCCTACAATCCAGCCTGGAAAACACCTCTCCACACTGGGGAGGGAAAATGTGAAAGGAGCTATTGTCTGTTGTCTGAAACAGATGTGGCTGGAGGAGGCTATCTAAGGATCAGCGGTATTAAAAAGTGGGGGCAGAGCTTCGGTCACGACAGGCGGTGCGGTTTAGACATGGGACAGGGGCATGGGAGCCTGCTCCAAGTTGAAGAGGTAGCTAAGAAAAGCTTGATGAGGCTTGGGGGTAGAGTGCACATGCAGAAGGATTTAGGAGTCCCTGAGACCCTGGCACAGGGAGCACAATGCGGTACCACCCTTAGGTTTAGGAGGATGAAATCAGTGGCGACAGCCTGTGTCCTGAAGCAGCTGGATAAGGGGCAGCGGTGGCCGCTAGCAGATGTGAAATAGTCCCTGGGGATTTCCCTATCAGGTCATGACAAAAACTTGGGGCCCCTCCACTCCTGGGGGGGGGGTGGCCTACGTGCAGCCTGGATGTAGGAAATGACTGTTTTTCCTGACTGCCTTGTAGGGCAGAGGGTATAGTTCACTTTGCTGCTCTCTGGGTCTGTCTGGTTTCTTCTCCTCTTCCCTCCCCCAGGCTTAGAGGATGATGTCTAGACACCTGGACGTGACACTGAAGTCTCTAACCCTTGTCCTTTGCCTCACACCCTGAAATCCAGCCACACAGGAGCATCATACTGCAAGCTGCTGAGCACGAGGTCCCCGACAGCACAACGTGCCCTGCATACCGCCAGGCCCCACACCCCTATGACCCACTGCAAAAGCAGTTTCCAGTAAACTTACTTTGCTTACAAATTGAGATGTCAGTCACATAATAATATGCACAGATCTTTGGTGCACAGTTCTATGATTTTTGTGTACACCCACATGTCCTGTATCCAGTCAAGTTTCAGAAAAATTGTATCACTCCAGAAATTTCTCTTGTGCTCCTTTCAGCCATTCCCACCCACAAACACATGTGACCCCTGGTCTGAGCCCTAGAAATATAGATTAATGTTGGCTCCTTTTGGCTATTATGTGATTAAACAAACCCTGGGCCTTCCCATTGAGCTATATGCCCAGACCTTCATTTTTTATTTTGCAGCAGGATCTTGCTAAGTTGTTTATTTCCCCAAATCTGTGATCCTCCTGCCTCAGCTTCGCAGAGTGCTCCACCGCACCCAACTGGATTTTCTACCTGGTTTCTGAGAGCCAGCTCATAACACCTTCTCTCATAGACTTCCCTAACTCCCCAGTTCACCCCATCTCCAAGCAGAGTTGACCAGCTTCTCCGAGCTGTGCCTGCATCCTGATTGTTCTGGTGCCCATCTTCCCCCACAGAATTGCTCTGCACTGCTTCCCTTATGTGCTCCGGGGGCAGGGACCACTGCCTTCCCCATATTTGTGTCTCATCCTTTGATACCACGTCAGTTTAGCATACGAGTCCGTAAGTACTGGCTGGGTAGGTGGCTTGTGATTCAACACAAATTATAAAAGTTAACATTTACTGGACATCTGTCATGTACCAGCCTCTGTTTTACCCGAATTATCTCTTACTTCTCACAGTTAACCTCTTCAGAGGGTAATACATTGTCTTCAGTTTACATTTAAGTTAGTTGCTCGAGAGACAGGGAAGGAACTCACG